AGTAAAAAAAAACCATTAAAACACAAAGCCGGGTGCAGGTACATGTCCAGAGTTCATGGTTACGGGTGCTTGTAACAGATCACTCCTTGGCTGATACATGATAGGTGAGGCAGCAGGGAACTGGTTAACCGGATAGAACACAGGTGGAGGCATGGGTGGATATTGCAGGTACGTTCCCGGGTAGCCAAAGATTGCTGGATACTGGGACAAAGGTGAGTACGGGGGTAGCTGAAACTGTTTTACAGTTGACAAACCTGTTCTCCACTGAAGATTCGGAGTATCACGCTGGGGTAATTGAGTTCCAGAAAAATTGTCGGCGGCTATGTCGTGTACAGCAGCTTGGCTCTCATACGTGGGATTGCCAAGTGTGTTGTACGTCAGAACTGTTGGTGGATGTCTCTGTCGCTTAAGCCTAGGTTCCAGTTCTGGATTGTCTGGTGGGCTGTTGTTATCCTGGGCTAGGGGATCTTGGCCCTTTCCGTTCTCCAAGCCGGTTTCTTCTGTCTCTTCCAAAACAGTTTGATCGCTGATTACTTTCCCTCGATGGGCGTGGTCCGATATAGCATCCTCCGACTGTGTCGGCTTAGGCTGTTTCTCTTCAACTGATGATTTGGCGAGCTCCTCAGTAACTGCCTCTTCTATGAACTGCCCGGTGTAAGGGTTCCCTGGGGTGATTGTATATTCATCATTACTACAGGTGCCATCTTCCAATTCTTCGGCCTGTGGTACGGGTATCTGATAAGCAGTGCTACGCTTATCTTTCTCGATCCTTCCTTCTCTCCTCTGACTAACCTCGTTTGGGATGTTAATGGGAAGGTTATTGCAAGGCAATAGCAAATTCCTATGTAGGATTCTGTTCCTCCCAGGGCCAGCCTCGGGCTTGACTTCATACACAGGGCTATCTTCTCCCTTACGGCTAACGACTTTGTGAGTCTGATCCTCCCAATGCGAGCGCAGCTTCCCCGGTCCGCCCCGTTCTCTTAGATTGCGTACAAGAACTCGATAACCAGGCAGCAATATCGAACTTCGTACAAAACGATCATAACGTTGTTTGGCTCGTGTGCCTGCTTCACTGGACTTCTTGCCTGCCAATTTGTAGGCCTCCGTCATCGCTTTGCGCCACTTTTCGACGTATTGGGAATGATTCACGTGGTTGGTTTCATCTTCAGTTTCAAACATTAAGTCTACCGGCAAACGGGGATGGCGGCCGAAGAGGAGGAAGAACGGTGAGTAGCCAGTTGATTCGTGTTTCGTACAGTTATAAGCGTGTACCACATGGTTCAAGTGTTCTGCCCAACGTGATTTCTGGGTCTCTGGCAAGGTACGGAGCATTCCCAAGAGTGTCCGGCTGAAGCGCTCGACTTGACCGTTCCCCTGGGTATGATAGGGGGTAGTGCGAGAATGTTCCACGCCGCACAGCTTCTCGAGCTCTCAATGAAGGTTATTTTCAAATTCTCCTCCTTGATCATGGTGAATTCTGAGCGGAAAACAAAACCGGAGAATAAAATCATTGTAAAGTTTCTGGGAAACTGTCTTAGCTGACTTGTTTCTTGTGGCGTAAGCCTGGGCGTAGCGTGTAAAATGGTCTATCACAACGAGGATATATTCATACCCTCCTCTACTCTTCTCCAAATGAAGGAAGTCAATGGTGACCAGCTCAAAAGGCGAGGTAGTCACAATGGGATTTAGTGGGGCTCTAGTCTTAAGCGAGGGGGCTTTTTGTTTAACGCATTGACAGACATGTCCAATATGGTATTCAATATCTCGTTGCATGTGGGGCCAATAGAAGCGCTCTCTAGCGAGGTCTAGCGTGCGGTCCACTCCAAGATGACCCATGTTTTCGTGGAGTTCCTTGAGGATGCGTGAACGAAGCTGTCTGGGTACAACAACTTGAGTCCTAGTTCCTTTACGGCGCCTAAGTATGCCATCCTAATCAAGGGATAGTTTATCCCATTCATGCAGGAGGAGTTGCGTCTCAGCCAACTCACGTTTTCTCTTTGCTGTTGGTGGTCGTTGGCCACGCTGGATTAAATCCCTCACTCGACAAACGACCTGGTCAGTGGTATGTGCGTGCTTCAAGTCTATTCTTGGTCCTGTGAATTTTTCATTTCTAAATGGGTCAGTCGTTAAGACGGCGTGGTCTCCTGTAAGGGCAGACACCCAGTTCACTTGTCCTCGGTCTTGAGAGTTTGCCGAAACGGCAACGGCCTGAAGGACCTCCTGTGGTACTATTTCCGCGTAAACTGTGTCTTCAGAAGGAATTCGAGATAAAGCGTCGGCATCAAAGTTGCCTTTTCCTGGGCGATAGTGTATGGTAAAATTGAAATCAGCTAACTCTCCAATCCAGCGCAGACCGGTGGCGTTCAGTTTTGCAGAGGATAATACATAGGTGAGTGGATTATTATCGGTGAACACTTTAAAACTTGGTGCGTAGTAGAGATAGTCTCGAAACTGATCGCAGATAGCCCATTTGAGGGCTAGGAATTCCAATTTTCCGGAATGGAAATGGTAGTTCTTCTCGGCTAGAGTCAAGTTGCGCGACCCGTACGCGACAACACAAAGAATGTCATCCTGATACTGATACAACACGGCGCCCAAGCCATCCTTTGAGGCGTCTGTATGGAGGACAAACGGTTTGTGAAAGTCAGGATACGCCATTACCGGAGCACTTGTGATGGAGTCGATAAGAGTCCGCAAGGCAGATTGATGAATGTCAGTCCAATCCACCGAGTGTTTTGCCGGTAATTGGCCATTGTTACTGCGGTCCTTCCCAGATTTGTCCAGCTGAACTTGCTTTGGAGAGCGACTAGGTGTCTTCACCAGATCATAGATCGGCTTGGCGATTCTAGAAAAGTCTTTAACATATCGCCGGTACTAGTTCAGGAAACCCATAAGTCTGTGCACTTCACTAACTGTCTTTGGAGGCGAGTCTCTGAGTGCAAGGACAGGCTTAATACTACATGGATCTAGCTTGTAACCCTCTTCTGACACAATCCGTCCGAGGAATGTCACCTCTCTCTTAAACAATTTACATTTTCGAGGTCTCAATTTGACCCCATATTCTTTTAGTCGTCGAAGAACCTCGCACGTGTTTTCGATGTGATCCTCAAAGGTGGCACTGAATATGATAATATCATCCAGGTAGGGTACACAAACAGTGTCTCTCAAGTCTCCCAAACAATTCTCCATAAAGCGTTGGAGCGCTCCAGGCGCGCGGGAAAGACCAAATGGTATGCGGACCCACTCGTACAAACCCCATGGGGTAATGAAAGCCGTCAAAGGCTGACTATTTGGACTCATAAACCCTTGATGGTAAGCTTTTCTCTGGTCAAGAACAGAGAAACATGAGTTGCCACTGAGGTTATCCAGCATCTCTTGTATTCGGGGGATCGGGTGGCGGTCAGGTCGAGTTTTCTTGTTAAGTGCTCTGAAATCCACGCACAACCGTAAGCTTTGGTCCTTTTTTCTCACACACACGACCGGAGAGCTGTTCGAGGATGACGATTTCTTTATAAAATTCCGGTTTAACAAATCTTCAATGTAGGCCTTGACCTCTGGGTAGAGTGGTTTAGGTACTGCTACATAGTTCTTCTGTACAGGTGTCTGGTCCTCTAAATCTAGGTCAAGTTCAAGGTCAGGGATGCATCCAACATCACTATCATCTTTAGCAAAAGAATCAGCCTCCTCCGTGAGCAACTTTAGAGCCATCTCTTTCTGATCTGGTGTCAGACCCTCCAGGTCTATGTCCCGGATATGCGATGGAATCCCCATCGGAGTCCCTCCTAACCTTTCATCAACTGTTTGGACTGGCTCTGTAGTCCCTGATACCTGTACCCCCTTCGTTTGGGTGTTGCTGGCACTACTATCAGGCTCTTTTGCCTTCACTTCAACTGGTGTCACCGACTGGACAAGTTGGAGTCGGCCAAGTAGGGTTCGTCCCCGAAGTATGACCTCATGGCTGGTGTTGTTGGTGATGTCAATGTCCACTTGACTTGATTTTCCTTTCTTTACAGTCAGCAGGGTCTCGGAGACCTCCAAACCATTTGGCCATGAGTGGGTCTCATCAGGTTCAAACAGCACTGGCGTAGGTCTTCCCACTGGTCCCGTGTTTGCTCTGCAGGTGACTGTTTTACTCTGCTTTGGTGGTATAGTGGTGTCACGCTTACTAGTTCGAACGAAGCAGAGTTCCTCCTGATTAAGATTCTTGATAAAATTCATAAACTCCGGAGCCGTCTGGCTGTCAAGGTCAGGGAAGCTGGAGATGACAGCTTGAGACAACGCCACCTCCCCATTACTATCTCTAATAATTTCTTCTAGAACATTAAACCCAATCAACGGTGAGTCCAAATGTTGTTCCGTAACTAGAAATGGAACTTTCAAATCATGTTGGTAAGACGGCAGTCTGAAGTTTAGCTCCACCCATCCGACGAATGGCATCTCGCTACCGTTAGCAGCAGTCAAGTTCAGTTCACTGTTGAGTAATTCCGAAATATCTTTAAGAGGAACACCAGGCAAATTCATCCTCAGGAAGTCGTTGGATATTATCGAAACCTGGGCCCCAGTGTCCCACAGTACATCTACTGAATGACCACTGATTTCTCCTTTAACAGCGCATCTTTTCCCCACTAACCCTACCACTCTGGCATGCTGTCGTGGTGTCAGATGACTAACAAAGGTAGTAGCGCTAGGGTCCATGGTCTTTGGCTCCGTTTTGTTTGATAGGTGTGAAATTGCCGTACATAACATTTTGTGGTCTGGCCAGTGTTTCTTTTTACAAGCCTGACTACAGTATTTCACCATTTCACAGTCTGAACATTGTAACAACTTTACCCTCTCCAACTGAACTTGGCCACAGCCATTACATCGATGGGACTTGTATCTGTTACTGTCGACTATTCTGTGTCCCGCCTGAATAGTCGCTGGTCGTTTCCCAGACGGCTAGCCTGATTCCTTCTTCTAGTACACTCACGAGCTACATGTCCAGAGATACCACAAGCGAAACAATGGTCACATTCCTCCCCTCTCCCACGCTCTTTACAGCTTTGACATCCCCAGTTTGGGTTCTTCGGCTGGTAACCACCTTTCTGGTCTCTGTAAGGGGATCGGTCCCAGTTTGGTTTTGCCGCCTGACCGCTCTGGGCAGTAACTCTACCTTTGAGGGCGTTAATTTCTGATTTCATCTGCCGGATTTCATAAAGAATCTGTTGGCTCTCGTCTGAACTTGGGTTCCTGGCCCTCTGTTTCCCTGCCTCCCTGGGGACTTCGAAAGCGTTTACTTGGGCCCTTTTTCGGTGTTCAGTGGCCAATTTTGTGGTTCGTTCATCTTGCTGTGAAGCTAGTTCATTAACTTGTTTCATAAGTTCTTCATCAGTTAGCCCTGGGGTACGAAGGGTGGTTCTTAAGTTGGACGCTAAAATATCATCACGTAGACCAGTTTCGAAGGATTTTATAAATGTCTTCTGGATCAGAGAGAGGCCATTATTAAACTCACAATCCGATTCCTGACTGGCAAAATTTACCTTGTTACGCAGGTCCAAAGCACGGGGTAGGAATTGCTGCGGTGACTCATTGCTTTGTTGGCATACGGTTGCGAGCTGTTGATATACCTCAGATGCAGCTTTCTCCCGGTAGTGGACACGGAGAATTCTCCGTAATTTTGAGAGGGAGAGGTCACTTAAGGTTTCCACATAACTTCTAAGACTACTATGGGGCGATATCGCACAAATCACGGCATCCACAATTTCACTTTCTTTAAAACCACGTTTAAGACCAGAGTCTATCTGATGCATTAAGGACACAAAGGTCAATTTTTCCGTCTGCCCTGGTTCGCCAATCTGTCCCGAAAGTTTATATTCTCTGTAGAGTAGCGAGGAGACCGCTTTTGTTTTCGCCATTTGAGCCAGAATATCCTCCGCCCCTTGTCCGACTTGTTCTTTGTTTAACTTTCCCTGGGCGCCCATTTGTTCGCTCCTTACTCCAGCAGCTACTTTTGCCCCTGTCTCCTCCGTTTGTTCGAGAGGAGGTACAGTTCCTTGAACGTAAGTGAGTAATTGTTCCAGACATGTGCGTGCGACCTTTTCATCGCTTTCCATTTTAAAGTCAACTTCTTTCCTGATAATTTTAATCCGCTGCATTTTAGTTTTCCCCGTTACATCGTCCTCGATTCCTAATAGATCTAACATTTCAGCCAGGCTGCCCTCATCTTGATCAAACAGTAGCGCTTCTACTTGCAATTGCAATTGCTCCATAATATCGAAACGCAGTACAATGCAGCGAGCTCCAAATTACAAACGTGTAGTAGTTCAAAGTGTAGGTATTCAAACCGAACGAGTCAAACTATCTGTCTCATCGACTCCACAGCGGAATTATCTTATCTTCCACTAAAATTCAACTGATGCACTCTTACCGTTGGAGTCTGACTGTTAACTCCTTTTCACAATTCCACGTGGTCGTCTCCGCTCGCTCGCCTGAATTCTCCGCTCCAAATCCAAGTATTCTGCTTCAAGTAAATCCAAGAGTTATTCTCCAAACTTGTGATCTCCGGTCAGTCCCACCGGGGGTGCCAAATTGTTACCAGTACTCCAAGAACCACAAGGAACTCTTAATAACTAACGCTTCTAGAAGAATATATTGCTTGTCTTTTTCTTTTAAATATTACAACAACTCTCTTTTAACTGTCCCGGATGTTGCCACGTAACAAGTCACATGTTTCCATTACGTTTACGCTCTAACAATAATAGTAATGCAACAAAAGACGTCCTCAGTAGGGTGGTGCCGTCATAAGTCCAGTCTCACTGGGGCGTGAGATCCTCCCAATGTGGGTCCGGACGCGAACACCCTGTACAGTTACAAATTACAGTGTTGCTATTTACAAGGAATTGGTTAAAACG